CTCTGTCTCCATGCCGACGTTGCTGATGCCTCGCGACGTCGCGCCGTACCCTTCGACCCCACCGGCTTGCACCCTACTTTGGCGGCGGCCCCCGCAGAGTTCCGGACAGCCTTCGGCCTCGGGGGGCCCGGCCGGGCCGCTGGGCCGGCCAAGAACGGCTCGGGATGGCAGAGCAGCGGCGCCAGCAAAGAGGGCCAGACCTTCGGGGGTCCACGCTGCGACAGAACTCGCGACGATGTCGAGGGTCTGGCTACGGTAGGTGTGCGTCGTGTCGACCAGCGGCGATCCCGCCGCCAGCCTGTCCACGATGAAGGCCGCCAGCGACCCAGTGCCAGAACCGGCCGGTGTCGAACAATCGTACGCCTCGGAAATGGCCGATCGTTTAAAGTTGAGCGGTCCCCGCGGTTGAGGAAACCAGAAGGTACCGATAACTACCGCGACTCCCTGGGGTGCGTTCTGACTAGAATTTCGAAGCCAATCCAGCGGTGGCGACGAGGAGGGCCCTCCGAGGAGGCCCAAAAAGGGGAAAACGAGGGGAGGGTAGAGGTATGGGTACCTTTTCCTTCCCTCCAATCAACGCCAGGCTCGACACGGCACGAATCTGCGGCACTCACCGACTTTCGGCAGGCCAACCTCGAACCAGGGATCGTGCTCCCCTCTTGGCAGGCTGCAGGCCTGGAGCCAGCCACGCGCAAAGGGTGGGTAATCAACGGGAGGGGGGAGGCTCCTTGAAGACAACCTGCTTCTTAGAAGGCGCGGGCCCTGTATCTATAGATGTAGTCGAAGAAGCAACATCGCCATAACCATAAACTTTCGGCGCTCCGCGCGGAGTTCTTGGATCCGCGCTGGGCCCCCCCCGGCGGCGCCCCAGGCGCCGCGAGGGGGGTCCAGCGCAGACCCAAGAAATCTTCGCGGAGCGCCAGAAGTTTCTGCCATGTCTCCTTTTCCAATCTCCATGGATGCAGGGCCCGCGCCTTCGAAGCAGCAGCATCCTCCCGAGAAGCCTCCCCGCCCCCTGAGCCCCCCCCCTGGCTTGGCATCGCTAGGACGCGTGCATCTTCGTCTCGGCGAGGACCATCGAAGAGCATCCTGGATCCTCGAGCCAGAGAAGCACGCGCGAGACCGACAAACATGCACACAGCATGGGCGCCCGAGCGATGGCACGGGGCTCGCGCGCGCGCGGGCGCCAGGGGCCCCGGGGGCAGGCCCGGCCAGGGGTTATACCCCGCGTGGCGTGCAGCTGGCGTCCCCCTCCGGTGCTGCCCGCCGCGGCTCGGCGCCGCGAGCTCTTCCGGGGGGGCCTCGCGAGGACCGAGAGGGAGGGCATCCACGAGCGACGACGAGCCCGGGCCTCCGGCGGGCCGGTTTTCCCGATGCCCCGAGAGGGGGTGTCCTGTCGTGGCGCAGCGCGCGCCGGCTCCTCGGCCTCCCTCACGCCTGTTCCTCTCTCTCTCTCTCCTGCCTCCCTCGCGATGGCACAGCCCACTCACGCTCAGGCTCGCGCGCACTCAGACTCCCTCACAGTGCGACTACTACTCGCACTCAGACTCGCTCCCACTCAGATTCACTCAGACTCATGCACGCACTCACGCGCAGTCACACTCACTCACACGCACTCACACTCAGACTCACTCACACTCTGACCCTCGTTCGCGCCGAGGGAACGAGGATGTCTCAGGCGAGGCGCTGGTTTCAGCACTCCCAAGGGGGGGCCGCCAGGAGGTACATCACGGGCCCGTTCGCGCCCAGGTCTTGGGGATGTTTCAGGCGGTTTGCTTTATGGTTGACCAGACTCGTCTGCGTTCAAGGCAGAGTGTGAGGATATTTCAGGCGGGGCGCTGGTCCATCTCATATTCATTTTTCATTGCGCAGGCTCAGCCGCATCATTTCCTCGTTCAGGCTCGGTCAGACTCAGACTCTGTCAGACCCACTCAGGGAATCAGCTCCAGACGCGCTCTCATTCATACACATTGAAACAAGCACTCCGACGACGACGACGACGACGCGACGACGACCACTACGACGGCGACCACGACGACTTCGAGCATGACGACGACGACGACGACCACGACCAAGACCACGACCACGACGACGACGACGAAAACGACGACAACGACGACGACGACATTGACGACTACGTGGACGACGACGACGACGACGACGACGACGACGACGACGACGGCGGTGGCGACGACGACGGCGTCGACGACGGCGAGGATGACGATGACGATTGAAATCTAGGGAGGAACGCGAAGCAGCGCGAATAATATTTACTTTTGAAGTGCGGGCCCGTTAATATTTCGACATTCAGGGCCGAGTGCAAAGGACTACAACAGACGTCGTCGTCGTCGTCGTCGTCGTCGTCGTCGTCGTCGTCGTCGCCGCGGCGCCGCCGTCGGCGCTGCCAGCCGGCGACGGCGCCAGGGGGAAGGCGGGGGAGGGGTCGAACCCCTCTCCCCTGCGTCATTGGGGGGGTCCGAACCCCCCCCACCCCTGGCTCGGGGAGGGGGGGGGGGAGGGGAATTCCCGTTGGTCTGCACGACGGCATCAAGTGCTCGGGGGTGGGGGGGACTTTCCCAGATCAAACGCGCCGCCAAATGTTCCCAAGGCAAGCGCCCGCGAAACGCGCTCCCTCTCTTACTGGGATCTCCGCGTTCGAGTAACTGTTCCCCCCAGCTGCGGCGTTTGTCATTCGTTTTGACCTCGGGCGGGACCTTGGCCAGGGTCTGGGCCAGAACTGATCCT